CAGATTCAACAGGTGAATTTCTAAAAAAAAAAAAAAAAGTGTTTTCTTTTTTTTTTTTTTTAATTCGGGGGCGTAGGAAGAGTTATTGTTCTAAGGTTAAGCTACCTGAAAATTCTTTAATGCAAAATCCCTGTAAAAATGAAACAAAATAAAAAGTTCCACTGAGCTCACTTGAGACTACCATGACTTACTCAATCAAACTTGAGTCCCTGTTCTCTTCAAACATCGGTGATGCCTCCCTCTGAAGATCATGGGGCCAGCTGCCTAGAGTCTGAACACCCTGCTCCGATTTGTCCCCCTTGTTCAGATCTAACCCAGCCGGGTGTCTGCTGAACTGCGTCAATCAGTACAGCAAAATCTACTTCTTGGAAACTCTGTGTACTAGAGAAAGTCTTGGTAATTGAAATAAATAAATAAACTCCATTGCTCTTGGGCTGCCGAGATAAAGCTCCGGACTTGGTTGTTCTGCCCACTGTCATTTGAGACTAGACTAGGAACATAACTGAAGTAGACTGCAGATCGGGACAAGCCACACATATTCGCTGGGGCTACCAGTCACTGCAAATCATGGTCCTTTGTCTCTGAGCTAAGTTCTCCTGAAAATAAAAACACACACTATGTGTTCAGAGAAGGCTTTGGTGACAGTGAGAGAGAAAGGGAGACAGAGAGATAAAAGAAGAGAAAGAAACTTTTACAAGGCATCATAAAAACCTATAAAACAACTTGCTAATTAAGACACCATTTTCAGTTTGCATTACCAAGCTTAATACTATTGCTTAATTTCTGTGGATACTGAGACTTCCAGAAAGGAATTAGTATTTCTTACAATTAATTGCCTCGTGAACCATGATCTTTCAAAGAACGTTTCTTTAAACATTTTTGGTGAAGTAATGTGTTTTACATTTATTCCAACTTAATTCATACGTTTTACATTTATCTCAACCATGTAAACATTGTTCTATAAAATTTAAAGCAGTTTATAAAGCATAATTGGGAGTTCGGGATCTGGGGAGATTTAGGCACCCTCACTCTGACGTTAGTTTTTTTCTCGCCTGGTAAAACGGAGGGAAAAAAAGCACCTTAAAACACACAGAGGCGCGCACACACGTGTATTTTTTAAAATGTATATATTCGTATAGATGATGCTTATTTTCAGGAATACATTTTAATTATAGTCTACTTCTGAGACTCTACCAGGTTTTAATTTCAATCAGCAACACGAGTTTGATTAGCGTTTCCGGCCTAATTATAGGTCACCAGGTTTCCGCTGAAATTAGAATCTAGCGAGCACCGACTCCGGCTCAGGCATTTGAAGTTGACCATTACGGCGTTCCCGAGCACCCCGTTTCACTTTGTTACAGAAGCTCATCTCTCCCAGGAACCGATTCCAACAAATGCACCCACACTCGTGCCTCAAGGTCCCAGCAACTGCTCACTTGGAAATCGCTTAGAAATGCCCCAGCCTCTGGGGTCAGAAGCGACAAGAAGGCAACGCTGTCGCCCGTCGAAGGGCACTGAAAAGTGTCCAGGAGCAGGGGTCTGGCTTTTCTGGAATACCGGGAACAAAAGAAGCGTCTGCGAGCAGAGAGGGAGCCGGGCTCCCGCAGCCCCCTCCGCTCCCCGGTGATCGGCTCGGGGAGCCAGAGCGCCGCCCCCGCCGCCCCGCTTCCCCCTGGGGAGTCCCGGGGACCGAGAGGCCCAGCCCGGGGTCGGCCCGCTCCGAGCCAGCGGACCCCTGTGCGCAGGGCTCCTGCGCTCGCAGCGGCAGGGAGAGGAAGTGGGGCGCCACACAGAACGACCAGTGCCTCATCAGCCCCTACGGCGCTGGGCGGAAAGAGTGGAAGCAAACACAGGCCCGGCGCCGCCGCTCCCGCCCGAGCGGCTTTTAAACTGCGTGTCTGCGAGCCCCGCTCGGCGCCGCGGCCGCCGGAACCCGCGCGAGCCGCCCGGCCAATCAGCGCGGCGCTTCCTCGGGCCGCCGGCCAATGGCGGCGCGCGTTCTTGGGGCGCGGCGAAGCGGGGCGCTCTCCGTTGGCCTCCAGTGTGTGGGCAGGGGCTGGCGCTGGCTCCCCGCTCGGCCGTAGTTGTGCTCCGGGGGCTTTTGTGCCGGCCTGCGGCCCCGCTCGCGTGTGCTCGGCCCGCTCGGCCCCGCCGCGCTCGTCCCGGCCGG